GAGCCGCTCCCAGCCGGGAAGGGCGCCCGGAGCTGCGTCGTGTCCTCCAGCAAGGGACTGGGCTCAGGGCGTGAAGCCTTGGCCAGAGCACGTGGTGCTCGCAAGAGTGGACAGGGAGGCCCCGGTGTCGCTTTCCCCCTCCGGGTCATCCCCTCCATAGGGACCGGGCTCCCTTTCCGAGCACGCCCTCACGCCACGGCTCTCCCTCCCTCCCTTCCCGCGTGTTCCTCTCTCCGGAGCGAGCACGGAGCAGCGATGGCTCCACGTCGGTGCTTCCCGGGGGTCCCGGCGCTGCCGCGGGGCAGGACGGGGCTCCGAGCGTCACCCCCTGGTTTCCAGCGCGGGGCGCGCGGCAGGAGGTGCCGCTCGCTGGGGCTGCGCGGGCGCCCGTCCTGCCCGGGCTTGTCCCTGAACTTTTATCCTTTCGCCACGGGCTCCGGGTGGGGGAAGCGGGGCTGGCTCGCCCGCGGAACCCGCTTGCAGCTGCCCCCCCGCCCCCCTCCTCCTCCTCCTCCTCCTCCTCCTCTTCCTCCTCCTCCTCTTCCTCCCGGAGCGCCGCTCCGGGCCCTCTGCTCCCGCAGGATGCGCGGGAGGCTCTGCCCCCGGGGTTCCCGCTTCTCCAGGCCGCTTCCAACCCTCCTTTTGCAGCCCAACCTGGTGACATGGAGATGCTGCACGGAGATGCCACCCGTGTCCAGCCCCAGCTCCGGGCTCTGACCAGACTTGGGATTTTGGGGGTAAACGTGGGAGTGAGCCAGGCTCTGCCCTGTGTTTCACCCCAGAGCTGTGTGCCAGAGCCAAACTCCTGCAGCAGGGCAATTCCCAGCACTTTTCCTTCGCTCCCATTGTAGTGGGGACGCTCGGGCACAGCCCCCTTCCCTCCTTTTCCTGCCTTTCCAGCACTGTGCAAAGCCCTGGGACTTGCACAAGGAAGAGGGGTGCACGAGGGCATTTTGGGGTTCTCGCTCCCCTCAGATCTGCTCCTTGCAGACAGCACCCCTGAGAACACAAGGAGGGCTGCAAGCTTTTCCCAGGAGCATCTTCCACGGGATGCAGGAGCGAAGCACAAGGACAACCCAGAGGAGGGGTCCGGGTCGCTGGAGAGCCCCCGGGGCCGGTGCCCCGCGCGGCCGCGGGCAGCAGCAGGGCGGGATGGCCTGTTTTCCAGCACGGCCGGTCCCCTCCCTGCCCGGAGCAGGTCGGACAGGCCGATACCTCCGGAGCCGGTCCGGCCCTGCTGGTTTCCTAATTGCTCGGGCCGGGCTGGGTGGAGCGCGGCCGCCCGGCGCCGCGCGTTACGCTCCAGTTCTCCTTATTTGGCCACGGCGCTCGGCTCGAGGGGGGAGAGCCGGCCGGGAAGGGAAGGGAAGGGACGGGAAGGGGGGCAGGCGGGCAGGGACCGCCGCGGCGCTGACATCAGCGCGGGAGCCAGAGGAGCCGGAGCGCGCGGAGCGGGACGGGGAGGGGGGAAAGGGCTTTTTTTAAAAAAAGAAAAAAGCGAAAACCCCAGCGCCGGCAGCGCCGGAGCTGCAGTTCCTTTAAAAGGAGATGTCTGTGCCGGAGACCTTTGTACACTCCCAGTCTGTCCGGGAAGCGTCTGGGCGCAGGGAGCCACCGCTCCGCTCTCCGCCAAGCGCCGTGTTGCAAAACGGAACTGGGGAGCGGAGCCGGCAGCGGGGAGAGGAGGCAACGGGGCTGGGAATGGGGAGCAGAGCGGGCGGTGGGGGAGCAGGGCGCAGAGGGACCCTGCGGGAGCGTCCGGGCCCCTCGGGGCATTGCCAGGGCTCCGTCCCGGAGGCATCCGCCCGGTGCCGGGGCCCTTGGGACACCTGGTTCTCATTACGGCGACCTGGCCGGGAGCTGCAGAGCTCTGCTCCGCTGTCGCCTTTCCCTGCTGTTCCCCAGCTCCAGAGGGGCTGGTGTGGGGATTGCGGATAACCGGTGTCCCGCGTGTCGGGGCAAAGCCAGGTCTGGCCTGTGACAGCTGCGGCAGTGTCTGGACTGGGCTGTATCTTACCCAAATCTGGCTCTATCCTGCCCAAATCTGTCCATATCCTAACCACATCTGTCTGTGTCACACCCGAATCTGGCTGTTTCTTACCCAATTCTGGCAGTATCCTACCCAAATCTGGGCTGGACTCTATATAGCCTACCCACATCTGGCTGTATCCTACCCACATCTGGCTGTATCTTACCCGAATCTGTTATATCTTACTCAATTCTGGCCGTATCCTACCCAAATCTGGGCTAGGCTCTATGTATCCTACTCAAATCTGGCTGTATCCTATCCCAGTCTGGGCTGGGCTGCATCCTGGTCCTGTTTTCCCGGGGTTGGGCTGTTAGGTCTGGATGGCAGGTCACTCGGAGGCTTCTTTCCAGATGGATTTGGGGGTGGAAAAGCAGATTTAGGTGCCCCAAGAAGCCCCCTTGGTATCTTCAGGCAGACACAGGCATGAGCGGGGATGCCGGGGAGGCTCTGGGTGCTGCATCCCGGCGAGCTCTGCTTTTCCTGCCTCCGTTGGCTCTGATGTTGTTCCCTCTTTGTGTCCCCGTGCCCGCAGGTTGTCGCGTGTCGGTCGGGGGCTCGGGCTCGGAGCCCAGAGCAGCCAGCACCATAGCGTCCAACAGCTGGAACGCCAGCGGCAGCCCCGGAGAGGGGCGGGAAGATGGCCAGGACGGCATGGACAAGAGTCTGGACAACGACGCCGAGGGCGTCTGGAGCCCCGACATCGAGCAGAGCTTCCAGGAGGCGCTGGCCATTTACCCGCCCTGCGGCCGCCGGAAAATCATCCTCTCGGACGAGGGCAAGATGTACGGTGAGTGGTGGCGGCCCCTCGGAGCAGGAGCTCCCCGCATCCCACCCTGCATCCCTCCTTCTCCGGGTCCTGCCGGACCGGCGGGTTTGATGGAGCTGTCCGAGCAGGAGCGCAGGGGCCCCGGCGTCCGGGCTGAGGTGTGAAAGCGGCTGCGCCTGGCACGGGGTGTAACCAAAATGGTGTCTCCCCCTCCCCAAGCCGGCCCTGCACTCCGAGCCGGGGCGGGAAGCGCCTGCCGGAGGAGGGACGGGAATGCCGGCTCCCTCACCGCCTGTGCCGAATCCCAGTGGAGGCTTCGGCCCCATCTTGCTGTGCCAGATAGTCCCACTGGAAACACTGAACGGGCAACACTGGGGCTGTCGAGAGATGACCAGGAGCCCCCATCCCTTCCTATCCGTCCTCCCCAGCACCCTCAGAGGGGACCGCACTGTCCCCAACCAAGGACTTATTAGGGACACTTTGGAGGGGAACACAGTGACCAGCACATCCTGCCGGGATGTCACCCTCGAAGCGATGGCTCCAGGCACCCCGTTGGCGCCGTCCCCACGCCAGGCGCTCCCAGTGCCACCCCGTATGCTGAGGCCCCCCGGCGTGGGACCGAGGCCGCGTGCGGGGCTTCCCAAGCGGGCACATTTTTTGGATTTCTCCAGGAATAGCTGAAGTGCCGCCGGGAGCCTGGCCGCGGCTCAGCACGCCCCGCGCGCAGACCGGTTTTTCCAGCCTTTCGGAGACATCTGGCAGCTGCTTAAAGAGACAGCGGCCTCCCCCCTCCCCGCCCGCCGTCCGTCCCCCCTCTCCGTCCCCTTTCATCTCCCAGCAGCATCTCCCAAACGCTGCTCCGGCCTGGCCAAGCCCACGGCGGCTTCCCGGGCTCCTTCCTGGCCGAGCTCCGGTTGCATGGGAAGGGCAGCAGCCCCCAAACGGAGCCGCTTGCAAAGTGGTGACTTTGCAAAGGTCGTGTTGGCTGGGATCCCCTCTCCCCCATGCCAAGCGCATGCCTGGGGGCGCTTTTTGGGGAGATTCCGGTGTTTTTTTTGTCCCTATGCATCCTGCGGGAAAAGAAGACAGTCTTCCCTGCAGGAAGGGAAAAATCGCCCCCCGCTCGGTGCGGCTGCAAACTTGGCTCGTGGCCGGGCAGGCGCAGGGGGTCCGGGCAGGCGCAGGGGCCGCGCGCCCCGTGAGCGCCGAGGAATTTGGGGAATGTGGCAATTTGGAGGAGGACGTGCCCTCGCCCAGGCAGTGCCCCGGCCCCCGGTGATTCACCGGGGACGGTGGCCACGGGTGTGTGTGCGGCGGCATGGGGGGAAGGACGGGACGCGGGGCGCATCCGTGCGGATTTGCTCCCGCTCCTGCAGCGCGTCCTGCCCGGAGCGCGGGTGCTACCAGCACATCCCGCCCAGTGCAGCCCGGTGGCGGCCACCGAGCCCCTTGCACCGGAGTGGGGTGACAGGACCGGGCGGGAGGTGGGGGTTATGTTTTAAGATTTTTTTTTTTAAGGCAAATCCAGCTCCAAGGGCATTTCGACAAGTTCCAACCGCGACCATCTGGTCCATTAAAATAAATGTGGCGTGCCTGGCCGCCCCCGTGCGCGGGGGGCGAGCGGCGGGGGGGGCGGCACAAGAAAGCTCCCAGCTGCTCTGATGATGGAGCCTAGATTGGCCACAGCTGGCCCGTAAAATGTGGCGCAAAAGCCCTTCTGCTTCCCATTAGGCCCTTAGGAAATACTGGTGGAAAGGCCAGCGTGGCTGCAAACGCTGGCAGGGGGCCGGGGGGGCCCCGAACCCCGTCTTGGACCCTGTGGGAGGTGAGGAGCGATTTGATTTTTGTGCCCTGTTTCAAGCCGCTGTGGCATTTGGGGGAGTCTCCGGGTGCTGGCATTCGGGGACACCCCCCAGCGCCTGTTTGGGACAAGGCAGCCGCTTTCCAGCACCCCAGAGCTGCAGCCGGAGCCCTCCCGCGGCGTGGGACCCGCTGCCACCGCCTTGTCCCCTTTGGCCACCACGTTGTCCCCTCTGGCTTGACAGCTGTCCCGGCAGGGCCATCCCCCGGCAGCGCCGGCCTCGTTAGGGCCTTCGTGAGGTTGAGCAAGTGCCCGTGTTGGGCAAGGCCTGGCCGGCCGGCGCCTGGGCGCCGGGACCGCC